AGATATAAAATATTTTTAATTTTTATTTATGTTTTTCCATAAATTAGTAACTTCCCAGCAAAAACTTGACTTTCAATTGTAATCACTTATCTATTAGAATACTACTAAATATCATCCTAATTACTTGTAAGTAGTCTAATAACGTCTTATTAATATCTATATATATACAAATTAATTGTGTTTGCATCGACTTTATAGACGGCTAATCGGCTGAAACGATTTTCTTGAAATTTTCACAGAGTCTTTCGGTATGTCTGGAAAGAATTATAGGTTACATCTTGTTTTGGAATTTCAAGTAGGCGAGGTGCCACGCCCACATACATAATAAGTATTAAAAGTCATATATCCCAGAAACTACAACAGCTAGAATCATCTAATTTTGTACGAACAACATCTATATGAACACATGTTGACAAAATGGGCAGCCTAGCTACAGTGGACATGGTACCTTCCATATTAACAAAACTTATGTATATTAGTATATCTGAAAAAGTATAACAGCTAGAGTAATCAAATTTTTTCGCAGCCACATTAGTATCGACATAAATATTTAGGACAAAAAATTGGAGGCGATAGGGGGCGTGGCACCTCCCATAGGAATTACATACTAAAATTTGTTTATGTGTGAAACTATTGGAGTTATAATCTTAAATTTTGCACGAAGACCTTTAACATCCATGTGAATATTTGGGAGTGAAATAAGTGGACTTTCATAAGGGGGCTTGGCACCTCCCATATGAATTAAATACATTAATACGTTTATCTCTGAAACTATTAGAGCTTAAATTCTAAAATCTTGTACGAACAACATTGACATCCATGTCAACATTTGTATAATAAATTAGCAGACTTCATTTTAGGGGCGGGTACCTCCCATATTAATTAAATACTAAAATTCGTTTTTCTAGGAAACTATTGGCGCTAGAATCTTCAAATTTTGAACATTTGGGAGAAAAATGGGCGGACTATCAATAGGGAGGATTGGCACCTTCCATATGAATGAAGTATAAAAATTAGTATATCAGGGAAACTGTTAGAGCTGGAATCATCAAATATTGCGTGATGAACTCTGACATCCATGTAAACATTTGGGTACAAAATTTGTGGACTTTAAATTGGGAGGCTCCCACCATAAGAATTATATACAAAAACTCATATATCTGGGAAATTGTGATAGCCAGAATCTTTAAAAATGGTAAAGTCTGTTTTTTATTTATATTGATTTTTGGTTAGCATAGTGTATTATAGCTAGTGTATTATATAAATGAATTAGATAGTAATTTTTGTATAAAAATATATATTTCATCGAAAGTATTTTTTAAATAAAAAATGCATCATTTAAATGAAAAATTATTGAATATTTTTATTAAAAAAAAAACATTTTTCTATTCAGAGAAAATTCATTGAAAATTTTCTTTAAAGAAAAAATTCATATAAATTTTCTTGAAATGGAAAATTTATGGTAAATTTTCTAATTTATGCACAAATTTCCATAAACAGAAAATTCAATGAAAATTTTCTAAAAACAAAAAATTTTTCACAAATTTTCTTTAAATAAAAAAAATTCATCAGAAATTTTCTTTAAATGAAAAGTTATTGAATTTTTTCTATAAAAAGCTATTTTCTATAAATGCAAAATTTATGGAAAAGTTTCTTTAAATAAAAAATTCATCGCAAATTTTTTTAAAATTGAAAAATTTTTAACAAAAAGCTAATTTATAAACAATTTTCTGTAAACAGAAATCAATTTTCTGAAATTTTCAATAAAAAAAATTCAACAAAAATTATCGAAATTTTTTATAAACAAAAAATTCTTCGAAAATTTTTTGTGAATCTATCTATAAAAAGAAAATTTATTAAAAATTCATAAAAAAAAATTTCAACAAGTTTTTAATAAAGAATTTTAAATGAATAGAAAAATTCTTATTTTTAAGAAATTTTCTAAAAATATAATATAAAATTTTATGAAATAACTATGTATTATAATATTTTAAAGATAATGGAATTTCAAAAAAGAAAAATTAATAAACTAAAAAAATTGTATAATTAAACCATATTTTTAAAAAATATCACCAAATAATCAAAACAAACCATTAAGGGAATTATAAAAAATACATAAATTTCAATCATAAGCCTATATAAAATAGACAACAAACGAGGATACATATTAAATAAATTTCTCTAGTTATCTAAAAATTTAAATGCATACATATGTATGTATGTATTTTTTAATATTAATAGTGCTGTTTTCAACATCATAATAATGTGTCAAAAACTATAAATTCAATTAATTTTAAAGAAACGACTTAAAACACACACAGCTTGAGAGCAGAAGGAGGATGATGGCATTTTTCAAAAAGAAAAAAAAAACTTAATTAATTATCACTACAATATACAGAAACATGAATGTGTTGAAGTTACCAATTTTTGAATAAACATTTAGATATTTTATCTAAAAAGAGAAGAAAAGCTGCCACCGCCATTAAAGCTGAATTGGTGATGATGGTTAATGTTGCTGCCATCGTTTATTTACAACGCCAACGACGAATATTTTAAAATTCATTTTAAAATGGACCGACCGTGATGGCTGATGACGACGACCACCTTAATTAAGTCAGAAACAACTACTCGGTTTTAAATGAAATGAAAATATGATATAAACTAAAATTAATATACAACATGTTAAACATGACATAGGAATTGTCGTTTTTTCTGTAGTTTTCAGTTTTTTTTTGAATAATAATGTTATAAAGCCCATAAGCGAAACTAATTTTAAATTAATTTAGATTAGCTACCAAACACAACAACAAATTAAGAGTGTATGCTGCTCTTTTAAAAAATGGACTTTTTCTAGCGAATTGGTTTTCTATAAGGAATTATTGTAAATATTATTTTTTTAGATAACCTACGCTGGCGCCATTAATACATATATTATTGCTGTTAGTTCTGTTGTTCCCCCTTTTAATTTTAAATGGAGCTTCTTTAAAATTAATATTGTTACGGCTGATTATTATAAATCTTAAAATTTTGAACACACACACAGATATTTAAGACTATAGCTTGTTTTAGTTAGTGTGAGCGTTTTTTTTCGAATTAATACGAAACTAATTTCCGTTTCAATTTCAATAACATAAATAAAATAAAATTCAAATCAAATTAATTTAATTGTTTATCCAAACAAAGTCATTTTTAGCTTTGTTGTTGTAGAAAGAAATTTTTATGAAACCTGCTATATTGCTGAAGAAATATAAATTTTAAGTACCCTACTTTTGTAAAACATGCTAAATGGGTTAAAGGTTGGGGTCAGAGGGTACCAAAGCAGACCTAACTTCTTTATGACCAGGCTTGGGGGTAATGATTTATTTTCAATTGCATTTTAAGTAATTGCAGATTTATCAATTACAATTACTTGTAATTTAAATTGGGGCTTTGCCAATTACAATTAAATGTAATTGCTTACAATTACTTGTAGTTGTGGATTTTGTTCCCATTTAATTACATATAAATGTATTTATAAATACTATAATTACAATTACAAGTTTTTGTATTTGGTAAAATTCAAATAGAATTACTGTAATCGTAATTGGTAATTACAAGTAATTGTAATTGTTTACTGGCCAATTACACATTACAACTAATTGTAATTGACCAATCTGTAGCCATCTATCTATCTATCTATCTATCTATCTATCTATCTATCTATCTATCTATCTATCTATCTATCTATCTATCTATCTATCTATCTATCTATCTATCTATCTATCTATCTATCTATCTATCTATCTATATATCTATCTATCTATCTATCTATCTATCTATCTATCTATCTATCTATCTATCTATCTATCTATCTATCTATCTATCTATCTATCTATCTATCTATCTATCTATCTATCTATCTATCTATCTATCTATCTATCTATCTATCTATCTATCTATCTATCTATCTATCTATCTACCTATCTATCTATCTATCTATCTATCTATCTATCTATCTATCTATCTATCTATCTATCTATCTATTTATCTATCTATCTATCTATCTATCTATCTATCTATCTATCTATCTATCTATCTATCTATCTATCTATCTATCTATCTATCTATCTATCTATCTATCTATCTATCTATCTATCTATCTATCTATCTATCTATCTATCTATCTATCTATCTATCTATCTATCTATCTATCTATCTATCTATCTATCTATCTATCTATCTATCTATCTATCTATCTATCTATCTATCTATCTATCTATCTATCTATCTATCTATCTATCTATCTATCTATATATCTATCTATCTATCTATCTATCTATCTATCTATATATCTATCTATCTATCTATCTATCTATCTATCTATCTATCTATCTAGTACACTTAAGTCGTATAACCAATTATTTGAAGATGTATTTCTTTAAAAAAAAAAATCATTGAAAATTTTCCTTTTTCAACTGTAGCATATTTTAAAAGTCGTTGATTACTTAAAAATTTCACTTGATTACTTTATCAATTAATAAATGTTTCTTTTTTATTTAGTTAATTGTTGATAAACAAATTAACACAAACCACTATTTATACACGATTGGTAAAGAAAAATTTATATTTGAATGCAAACATATCGATGAAAAAAAAAAAAACGAAACATTTAAAAACATTTTGACACACGCCGGATATGGCCAAAATCGTATAAACTTAATATGTAAATACAAAAAAAAAAAAAACAAATGTATAAAAAAAACAAAATAAACCGTTTGTAAGATTTAATGCAATATTAATTTATACATAAGTTGGATTTTTTTATATAAAAACCACAAAAATTAAAAAATTTAAATGCATTAAATGCGTTAACTATAAAATACCACTAATACAATGTTGTAGTAAAGACCTACCAAATATACTTCTTATACAGTTTCTTGTTTTATTTCCCATATTTTCAATTTCCGGTTAAAATTTGAATTAAAAAAAAATTAATAATAATAATTTCTTGTTGCACTTACCACTGTGATGTTGCTGTACTCCTGGTGTTGTTAACGTTGTCGCTGCTGCTGACGATGTTGTTGTTGATGATGTTGTATGAAATGTTGTTGCTGTTTTATCACTTGTTGCTGCTGTTGTTATTGTTACCGCTGCTGATGTTGATGGAGAGGCGGCTGATGATGTTGTTGTTGAAAAATCATGTGGTGATAAACGATTGTTGTTTGTATTATTGCTGCTGCTGTTGTTGTTAGTGGAGTTTGTTGAATTTGTATTGTTATTGTTGCTGTTGTTTGTATTGACATTATTACTACTGTTATTACTACTAAATCCTACTTGATGGTCTGATCCACAGACTGATGATGATCCAGTTGTTGTTCCTGCCTCATATGAATTATTTGTATTTACAACCTGACAATCCTCCGAGGGTCTTTCACAATCTGAAAAAGATTACAATTTTTTTTATTTCGTTAATGCAATTTGAACAAATTTGTAACCTATTGTTACAGGAATATTAAATTTTCCCAAATATAAATTGAATCCAAAAATTTCATATAAGTTTACTGTTTCTTGTACAATATATAGTAAACTTCATATTTCCTTTTTATCTACACAATATATTGTAAGTCACTCTAATAATAAAATCCTTTACTACCTATGGTCCTTTAATCAAATTTTCTAATAAATTTGTTTTATCATATTTAAATTTCATTGCAAAAAATCTAATAAGTATGTTCATATGTTAGCTGAAATTTATTTAACCCAACTAATAAATAAAATTAAACTAAATGAAAAAACCTTGATTGTAAGTATTGTAAACTTCCTGCTTAGCTCTTCAGACCAGACGGACAAACAGCTAGCATCCATAAGTAATAATAAATCATATTCAGGAAAAGGTGTACTATATAGAGAAATCTGTATAAAACAGTAAGTAGATAAGTAGAAAGGAAAATACATATTCAACATTATAGACAAATAATTTGAAAGTGGTAACAGAACCACGCAAAGCATTACCATTGTGCCACTTTATAGAAATTCTCAACGGTAACACCGTCTTTTCCCGTGAATGATAACATGCATTGATTTGACTACTTGCATTCTATCAGAATAATCAACTTAAAAAAAATTATATTTACTCCTAGCTAGGTCCATATACTCACTCGCTAACTCTTTTATTTAATATCCCAAATGAGAAAGAACGGGTTTAACTGCTGTATGCTGAGCAGCGAAAACAGTTCGTTCAGTTCTTTACAATTATAAATCAATTTTCTTTAGCAGTGGTTCTCTAATGCAATTTTTTTTTATAAATTTATAAACTATAGTCTAGTCTATAGTCTAGTCTATAGTCTAGTCCATAGTCTAGTCTATAGTCTAGTCTAGTCTAGTCTAGTCTAGTCTATAGTCTAGTCTATAGTCCAGTCTATAGTCTAGTCTATAGTCTAGTCTATAGTCTAGTCTATAGTCTAGTCTATAGTCTAGTCTATAGTCTAGTCTATAGTCTAGTCTATAGTCTAGTCTAGTCTAGTCTATAGTCTAGTCTATAGTCTAGTCTATAGTCTAGTCTATAGTCTAGTCTATAGTCTAGTCTATAGTCTAGTCTATAGTCTAGTCTATAGTCTAGTCTATAGTCTAGTCTATAGTCTAGTCTATAGTCTAGTCTATAGTCTAGTCTATAGTCTAGTCTATAGTCTATCTAGTCTAGTCTATAGTCTAGTCTATAGTCTAGTCTATAGTCTCTAGTCTATAGTCTAGTCTATAGTCTAGTCTATAGTCTAGTCTATATCTAGTCTATAGTCTAGTCTATAGTCTAGTCTATAGTCTAGTCTATAGTCTAGTCTATAGTCTAGTCTATAGTCTAGTCTATAGTCTAGTCTATAGTCTAGTCTATAGTCTAGTCTATAGTCTAGTCTATAGTCTAGTCTATAGTCTAGTCTATAGTCTAGTCTATAGTCTAGTCTATAGTCTAGTCTATAGTCCTAGTCTATAGTCTAGTCTATAGTCTAGTCTATAGTCTAGTCTATAGTCTAGTCTATAGTCTAGTCTATAGTCTAGTCTATAGTCTAGTCTATAGTCTAGTCTATAGTCTAGTCTATAGTCTAGTCTATAGTCTAGTCTATAGTCTAGTCTATAGTCTAGCCTATAGTCTAGTCTATAGTCTAGTCTATAGTCTTATCTATAGTCTAGTCTATAGTAGTCTAGTCTATAGTCTAGTCTATAGTCTAGTCTATAGTCTAGTCTATAGTCTAGTCTATAGTCTAGTCTATAGTCTAGTCTATAGTCTAGTCTATAGTCTAGTCTATAGTCTAGTCTATAGTCTAGTCTATAGTCTAGTCTATAGTCTAGTCTATAGTCTAGTCTATAGTCTAGTCTATAGTCTAGTCTATAGTCTAGTCTATAGTCTAGTCTATAGTCTAGTCTATAGTCTAGTCTATAGTCTAGTCTATAGTCTAGTCTATAGTCTAGTCTATAGTCTAGTCTATAGTCTAGTCTATAGTCTAGTCTATAGTCTAGTCTATAGTCTAGTCTATAGTCTAGTCTATAGTCTAGTCTATAGTCTAGTCTATAGTCTAGTCTATAGTCTAGTCTATAGTCTAGTCTATAGTCTAGTCTATAGTCTAGTCTATAGTCTAGTCTATAGTCTAGTCTATAGTCTAGTCTATAGTCTAGTCTATAGTCTAGTCTATAGTCTAGTCTATAGTCTAGTCTATAGTCTAGTCTATAGTCTAGTCTATAGTCTAGTCTATAGTCTAGTCTATAGTCTAGTCTATAGTCTAGTCTATAGTCTAGTCTATAGTCTAGTCTATAGTCTAGTCTATAGTCTAGTCTATAGTCTAGTCTATAGTCTAGTCTATAGTCTAGTCTATAGTCTAGTCTATAGTCTAGTCTATAGTCTAGTCTATAGTCTAGTCTATAGTCTAGTCTATAGTCTAGTCTATAGTCTAGTCTATAGTCTAGTCTATAGTCTAGTCTATAGTCTAGTCTATAGTCTAGTCTATAGTCTAGTCTATAGTCTAGTCTATAGTCTAGTCTATAGTCTAGTCTATAGTCTAGTCTATAGTCTAGTCTAAGTCTAGTCTATAGTCTAGTCTATAGTCTAGTCTATAGTCTAGTCTATAGTCTAGTCTATAGTCTAGTCCATAGTCTAGTCTATAGTCTAGTCTATAGTCTAGTCTATAGTCTAGTCTATAGTCTAGTCTATAGTCTAGTCTTTAGTCTAGTCTATAGTCTAGTCTATAGTCTAGTCTATAGTCTAGTCTTTAGTCTAGTCTATAGTCTAGTCTATAGTCTAGTCTATAGTCTAGTCTATAGTCTAGTCTTTAGTCTAGTCTATAGTCTAGTCTATAGTCTAGTCTATAGTCTAGGCTATAGTCTAGTCTATAGTCTAGTCTATAGTCTAGGCTATAGTCTTCAAAGACATATCGAGGCTTTTTTGTAATTGCTTGAGAACTTCTTCTCTCTTTAGCATCTACTATATGGAAAAATTTATGAAAAACTCCATGTTTATACAATTGTGTGTGTATGGATATTTATAAAGTATTTACAAAAACACCGTTAAAATATCTTTAAACAAGAGAGGGGTTTTCTTCTTTTTTCCAATTTTGTGGAGCGCAATAAGGCGCGTGATTGGCAAAAAAGGTACGGTCAGTCAGTTTAGGTTGCAAAAAGAAAAAAAAATACAAACCAACAGAAAATACTAAAATATAAAAATAGACATGTGAAGCATGCTGCGAATTAATGCAATAGAACGGTTACAGCAGCAGCAATGTTGGAAGTAGTAGTAGAAGCAGTAACAACGACAGTAGACATTTTAGTTGATGGTGATTTTGTTACCTCGAAGACATCCGCTTTTAAGCTGATTTTTCCGTTCTATTTATCAGTTTTTTTTTTTGCAAGAGTTTATTATTTTATTTTTCCCCCATATTTATATTTTATTTTCGTTTTTTTTTTGCTTTTTAGTATTGGTCAATGCAAATACTAAACTTAAGTTAATTATATTGTTTAAAGATATGAAAGGTTTAAATGTTGGAAAAAGGATGTTATAACCCCGTGGGCATCTAAATCTAGAAATCCTTTAAGAGTTTGCTAAAATTTTCTAACAATTATCAAGTTGTCAATTGAACTATTTAGCATGAGTAATAGATTCAATAACTTGAATTGAAAATAAAAACAATAGCTAATAAATATTTGGCACTTGAAATTATCGTTACTTGATTATAAATTAAAAGTGTCTACAATTTAAAATCACAAATAATTAAACAGGAAATGCGATTTCAACGATCTGATCTTTAGGTAATTTAATTAATAAATATTTAAACAAAACAATTGATTAGTTTTGTTTAAAATTAACAACAAAAATACCAGTTTCATATCAATTTTGATTTATGGCCAAATTGAAGAAAACGGAAATAAAGAAAGTGTTATTTATAAACAATTGATTTGTTTTAAGTGATTTTTTTGCAGGAAATATATTCTACTGATTTTCTTAAAGATCAAAGTGATTGAAGTACCCAGCAAAAAATTAATTTGAAAAGTAATGAGTTTAAATACAAGTATTTACCACTTTCGCTTATAAGTAAGTACTTAAATAAGTACTTGTAAATAGAGAGTTAAAAAGTTATCGCATGAATTTGAAATTAATAGTTTTCATATAGAAATACTATTTTTTATTCTATGTGTTTAAAAAATTCCGATTACTTTTCTCTGTTGTTATTTCAGCCCAATTTCCAGATATCAAGACCTCAACACATTTTACTCGGCTTTTATTAATGGAGCATTTGCACTGACCTTTACTCTGATTTTTGAATCGAAATATATGAAAATATCCTATAAAATTGTAGACATTTTTGTCATCAGATTTTTAAACTGAAATTTTGGCTCCTTACTGAATATTCCCTAATTGGTTCTTGTGGAAAGGAACTTATTAGAGTATGAGGGACACCTGAAGGTCCCTCCAATGGGACTGACTATTTCATGATTTAATGAAAAATCAACAATTTTGTTATTGGCCCCAAACTTCACAGATCAACAAAATTTTATATATCAAGGGATTGTATTCAATAGCGTCTATCTTAAATAACTCAAAAAAATATTTATTTCGCTGGTTGGTGAAGATTTTTCGGACTATAGTCTAATTACTGACCATACTTTTGTCTCGATAATAGCATCTTGAACAAAGCACGCGTATAATGGACCGGCATCCATATACGTAAATTGCAACCTGCGTGTAAGATACACAAAGGGGCGGTGGCGAGTCGTTATATTTTTGCTCACCCAGTGGATGAAAAAGACCACCGTGAGATAGGCCAACACGGCAGGAACTCACGTAAAGCACTTCGACATTCGTGTCTCGATTATAGACCAGACTATAGTCTTGATAATAGACCAGAAAATAGTCTTGATTATAGACTAGACTATAATCATGACTATAGGTCTGACTATAGTCCTGATAATATTGAATATAAACCCTCGATATGTATCTAGTGTAAATTTTTATCTATTTTTCTTCAAATACTAAAGGTTTGACATTTTCGTTTTAAAACCCCTTAATAATTTTTTCCTAAAATTCCTACAAGTATAATGAAATTAGTAGGAAATATAACAAAAGAAAAATCATAATAAATTATTAAATATAAAGAAAAATAACAAGGGATCAATCTTATTATTTTTACACAAAGAAAAAAAATTAACAATATTTTAAAAATCAAAAATTCAATCAATACAATTTAGCATAAATACGAGCATGTTTTTTAAGGAATATTTTAAAATTCCAAACACTATTTGTAAAAGCATGTAATGAATTCTTTTGAAATTTTCCTTTGAAATTAAACAATAGAAAAAATGTCCTGATCGTAAAAAATAGACATGTTTTTCAAAGACATAAAATAGTTGTAATTGGGGAAACATGTAGTTCTGGTTGTTATTGACCATTAACACTTGTTTGTCTTCCTATTTCTGAATTAATTTATTAAAAATGTTTTTTTTTTTTTTTTTTTTTAGTTTTGTTCTTTATATGTTTTGTGTTTTTTGGTGACGATTATTATGAGAATTATCAAATTTGTCAGGTGCAAGCGTTAATAGCTGACGAAGTAAGCTAGTGAATGAGTGACGGACTGACTGATGGCGCCAACAGCTTGTTAATATGCCTTAAACGTTTAAACACTTACATGTTTTACACTATTTATAATTATTAAATATACATCACTATACACATAACAAATACTACGTACGTACATACATACATACATATGTATGTATGTAATATATAAGTTGTAGTAATAATGCCATACAAATACTAAACTACATAACCTAACACAATATTAATTAGTAATCGAATAAATAGAAAAACAAATTTTCATAATTTCCAATAATATTGTTCATGTGGTAAAGAATAATAAGTAAAATTAAATAAATTAAAGTGTAATTAGTATAAAACAAAAAAGAATCACTTTGTCTTCTTACCTTTTTGTAATATATCTAAATGTTCCCATAGTATGTCGCCGGTAAATGCTGGTGTTATGGCTAAAAATTTATCTTTTCCTAATTCAATTATATCACGTCCTTTCATTTTTAAAAACGGTTCATGATTCATAGAAACCAATGAAAATTCTTTTATTGCCCAATTTAGCCAATATATAACATGTTCTTCAGTCCATTGGCGGGGATCTACAAAATAGAAAAAAATTACAAAAAAAAAAAAACATTAAATTTATTTTTTTTTGTTAAACTAAACAAACAATTAATTTTATCAAGTATTTAATAACAAAAAAAACTTCATTGTAGCTGTTTTATTATTGATATTTAAGTAATTTAATGATGTTTTCATGTTTTGTCATTGGAATTGCTTATTAATATGACTTTAAATGTTGTTAAACAGGAGGGGTGGTTTAATGCTTTCTAGGCTTATTATTATCATACCCCTGCATAAATTTACACATACATATGTGCATATGTATGTATGGTATTGTGGGAATTTGTGTATTTTTTTTATATTTCCATATAAAATATGTATTTTTAATTACTACTATACATAATTGCCTTAATGTATTACAAGAATTTATATATTTTAATAGTCTATTAAATAAGAATTAAATAAAGGAAAACAACAACTTGTTGATTATTTAATTTAAATTGTTTAAATGTTTGAAAAACACTAGAAATCAATTAGTGTTTAAATTAAATTTTTAATAAATTTTATAAAACAAAGCCTAAGACAAGGGAAAATAAAAATGATATTTTTTTATATACCAATGGAATGACAATATTAATTTTCTTATCAAAATATTGGCCGTATGTCCACAAAAGTATACATATATACTGGGTCATTATTAGATTCCAAAAGCATGTAGCCATGTCTGTCCATCCGTGTGTTGGAAACACGATATGGTATGAACTGGATTTTTCACTATTTTGGTAGTTTTGTATTAAAAATGGGCTATATCGAACCATGATTTTAACTAGCTCCAATACAAGTGGCCAAGAAGAATATAGAAGCGACACATACATACATAAATATGTATGTTTATTATGTAAGGACCTATAGTGATAATGTTTTGTACAGATTACATCATCGAGTGATATTTCTTACTTACTTACTTATGGTTCCTTACATAACATTACTTTAACTTTAAAAATAGCAGTATAGCTAAGAAATTCGGTATAAACGAGTACTTTAAGAGCCATAATAACAAATTTTAAGAGTAACGGTGCAGAATTGTCCTAACACTATATGGGTAACTTCTAAAATCGATATCTTCCGATTTGCACCAATATTAGTACTATTGGATAGTAGGATATTCACAAATTTTCAGCTCTATTGGTCAAAAACTACCGGATTAGAGGGGGTTCAAAGTTGGACATTTTGGTCATACAAGGTTTTATTCAAATGAGTGTAACTTTTCATCTATTGGTTCTAGAAAAATTGTCCAAAGGAGTTCAGATAGCTATTTCTTCATTGTTTCTTTTGTGGTTACTTAGTGGTACGCTGTATGACCAAAATCTCCAACTTTGACCCCCTCTAACTCCGGCAGTCCTTCACCGATAGATTTTTTGTAAACGAGACACCCTATTAAACACGTGTATCTGATCAGTGTTAAAGTTTTATTAGACTTAATGCGTTTAAATCAATGGAAGGCAAAAACAAAAAGCTTTAAACTGTAAAAGTCTTGAAGCAAGACAGGGTTGGAAAAATAGAAACTTCTGACGCAAAGTTCTAAGAACTACCGACTTCGGAAACATGAAATTTTTGAATATTCTCTCATATTGTTAAGAAAACTGAAAGAGATTACAGCCGGACCAGTGGTAATAACTTTTACCAGACAGAGTACTTCTTAGGATTACCTTTTTTATCCGATCGTTAAAATTCTAATGGACTTTTAAGTGTAATTTTAGATAGACGTTTAAGGTACTTTTTTACAAGACTTTGGGCTAGTCAAACTACTTTTCTGTGGACTAGTCCATGTATTAGTTTTTAGACTGGGACAACAATACACTAAGGTCTAGTATATAGATTAATCTATTTTCCAGTTTTTAGACTAATCTATTGCTTATTGACTAGAACATAGGCTAATCAATAGACTGTCTAGATTATTGACTAGTATATAATGAAACTATATTAAATTCATTATTTCTGAAATTCCTTTTCAGAACTTCCATTTTTTAAACTCTACTTTATGTTGTTTAGAGGGGAGGGTATTATGCGTTGTACTATATTAATTTCATTATTCCCGCATTAACCCCCTGCCTTTCTTTTAGTCAACAAATTGTCAAAATAATTACTTAATTAATAATAACGTAAAAATGAAATTAAATGCTTTATTATAAAAAAAATAATAATCAATGACCGAATATAAATTCTTACTTGTTTTAATATGTAGAATCGAATATATTATGTTCATATATATTGTACGTACCTTTGGTTATATTGCAGTTCTGTACCTCTTTTTCCCAAGAAGCAAAAGAGGCTTTTAGCACCTCGGCAACTTTTCGATTTGTACCAGGCGTTAAAGGAGGTATTTGTGTGGGAACATCTATAAAAGAGAAAACAAACATATATACAAAAATTAATTAAATTTTAATTAAAATAAATAACGATATTTTAATTAAATATTTTTATCCTAATTTTTTTTAATAATACTAAGATCAACAAATACACACTAATTGCCTTATACATAACAATTTTACAAAGATTTATAGAACAAAATTTGTGTTATAAATTGTTATGAAAAAGGCTTAAGTATTAATAATTACTAGTTCAAAAATTCAATACCTTTCAATTTAGACAAAATAGCTTTTTAGAAGTAGTAATTGTATTCTTTATATAAAAAAAGTTCACTCTAAAAACATTTGACTGTAATTCATTACTTTTCTTTTCCACATATTTTATTGTTTAACCATTTTTTTAATTTATTCAATAACAATATTTGTTGCTATTTATAAATATATCATGTATATACAGGTGATTAAATGTTTGTATGTCTACATTCAATATTCAAAATAAATTAATTATCGAAAAGTATTTAAAAAAATAATTACCTTTTAATTTGCCATTTGTTGTATATAATTGTTGTATTTTGTGGTTTTTTAAATTAAACTTATTTCTTGTAAAGCAAGAAAAATAATTGTTATTGCCGGTATTAAGCGTATTGCTGCAGGAATTATTGCTATTGCCACTAGTATTGCTATTGCTGTTATTAGTGCTGGCAACATAATACGATTGTGGATAAGGATAACCAGTCATACGTAGCGGTACACGTAAACGGGCATCCGACCAATCGATCCATTCATTTGTCATAATTTTTTTTAGAAGAGTTAAGGAAGAGTTGAACGCAATAAGAAACAGATCACTTGTCTTCTCTATTGCTGTTATTTGTATGTTTTTTTTCTATAGTTTTTATTGCAAAAGTTTGTTTTTAGTTTTATATGTATAATTTTAATCTTTTTGTTTGTATCATTTCTATTATTTTATAAATTTTGTGGGTAGTTATTTTTATTAACTCTGTTTATAAACAATATTCAAGAAAAATATTTATTATGTTGATATGTATGTTTGTATGTATGTAATTAAATGCTAAATGTTAAAACAAGTGTTTTCTAGTTTCTATTTAAAAACAGATTTGTTTACACTTTTTTAGACAAATTTAATTATGTATTTTGTTTTTGTAAAAAAAATTGAAAATTTTCCTACAGTTCAATAAATAGAAAATACACAAGTAGGTACTTATAACAAATGTCCTTATACACCATTAAAAATATCCTTTCCATATAATAAATATTTTTATAAATCACCTTAAAGTATGCTTTACATTTTTCCCCATATTTTAAGTCTGCTTTTGATCTTTTAAGCTGGGTTTAGGTCCTTGCTAGAAGGAATATTTTTAGGTTATGTTGATATTTAACTAGTTCGTGAAAAAATTCGGAAATATTCTTGAGATACAGCCTAATTGGAATTATTGAAACAGAAACAAATAGTTTTACAAAATTTAAAACTACTCCATATTTTGAAAGATTAATGTTTTTTATTAAGATTGAGTAAATGATGAATTATTAATGAATAATAGTAAAGTACTACAACTAGCCAATAGAAGTGAAATTTTTGTTCCCTTGAAATGTACATTCCCTCGAAGAGAAAAATTGCTATTGTGAACTTGACATTTCATTCACAATAGTTGATTTTGTGCGCAACAGCTGTTCATTGTTTACAAAATTCTATAAAAACATTTCACAACAGGAGAATTTTTTCACTTCAAAAAAGATCGTGTACCGAAAAAAAAAAGAAAATTTTGATTGGCGATAGGAGTGATTATCAATAAAATCTTTGATTTTCACAAAAATACTGATATTTTACTAAAAATATTTAGGGAATTTTCATAAAAAATTTGAAATTTCGCAAAAAAAAAATCGAAATATAAATTGTATTTTTACTGAGAAACCAAATTTATAATGAAATTTTACGAAAAATCTGCTAATCAGTAATAAAATCGAATTTGGAATTTTCATAACATTATAAAACAAATATTAATATTTCATTGAATAATTTAATTTTTTTGAAAATTTTAGTTTTCACTATTAAATCAAATTTTTGTGAAATTTTGGGATTTCACTGAAAATTCTATTTTAATCTGAAATTTTCACTCAAAAATCAACATTTTACTGAAAATAACATCTTCGCTGAATTTTCACTAAGACTAAAAATATGATCTCGCTTAAATCGACATTGTGCGACAACTTTTTGCGAGAATGGGTTTATATCAGTTTCAGTTATGTTTGTATTTGACAGGTTGATTGTAATGTGTAATTGGGCTATACCCAATTACAATTACTTGTAATTGAAGTTTACCAATTACAATTACTTGCGATTGTAATTTAGGTATTATAATTATAAGTTATAATTGGAAATACTCCAATTAAAATTACAAGTAATTGAAAATCCATCAATTACAATTACAAGTAATTGAAAATTCATCAATTACAATTACAACTAATTGTAATTGGTTATTGCTCAATTATACATTACAAATAATTGTAATAATTGTAAGTAATTGTAATCTGTAAAGCTTCAATTACAATTACTTAAAATGTAATTGTAATTGAAAATGTAATCACTACTCCCCAAGCCTGTTGATTTCATAGTAAACTAAATGTAGTACAGTAATAGCACATATCGGATACGCAAAGAAGTCGTTTTCGTAGAACCCAACAGTAAACACCAAAAGTACTGATTATAGATCCCTTGGCACAAAGATATCAAGCTATGGATCCAATCACTATCTATCTGTCTTTATAACCTAATCAATAAAACAACAATCACCTAAATTTTAAACTGTAAAATCTAAAACGTATGTAAACATATGATCTAATCAATCAGCTAAATAAAACCCCTTCATCTAAATCTTCACCCTCCCTCATCACAACCCAATTTACTTATTATTTATTAGCAGGGCATGGGGTTAAAATACAAAACAAATTGACAACAATACACAAAAATAATGTTTACAAACACCCAAATGAATAAATAAATAAAAAACTCGTACGATAAATATAATTTAATTGAGCCATAATATTTTTGTATCACAATCAAAAGATGTCTGCTCTGATGATGATGTGATGGTTATATTGATGTTGCTGTTGATGTTCTTACTGGTGTAACAAATCAATTCCATTCATTGTTTAAACTTATTGACCTTCTCAATTGATTATGAAATGTATGTATATAATAGACGACCAACCAACCGACTGACTGAATTACTTTGAATGGGTGAATGGTGAAAGAGGGTTATGACCCTTTCTACAATTAATAGTATTTTATCATTTGATAAACATTAAACAGCAGCAATCTACTAACATGGATGCAGGCATTGTATTGTTGTATTTATTATTTTAATAATCTGAATTATTGTTATTATTACTACAACAATAATAAACAAGTGAGTAAACTATAAAAAAGATATTTATACATACGGACAGACATTTAGATATGGTAGATTTATAGTATGAAATAGTATTTTTCTTTAAGCATAAGAATAACAAGTGTTAATTTATAGCACGCGTTTTTTTCCCTACTTCTTTTTTTTATCCATAAACATATGTAAAAGAGCATTAATGCTCGGAAAGAAAGCAGGCAGATAGACGAACAGACAGACATACTGTTAAGGCGACAGCCAAGGAACATAATGTACCAGCACTTGAAAGGGTGGATGTAATATGTAGTTGGAATTGTGTATAAAGAAGAAAGTTTATGAATACTAAAGAAAGAAAAAAAAATGTCATACAAAAACGGAATCACAGTGTGGGTGCAGTTCTTGATTTGTTTTTATTATTTTTACTACAACTACATACTACTACTGCTGGCTGCTTATTAAAATTTCGAACAATTGTGACAGTCGCCCAAAAGCAGGCACAGACGGACAGATCTACTGCATAAAGAGTTCGGTTGGGTTCAAGCATTTAATTCAATTGAATTGATTTGAATGTGTTGTTTTGTGTTCTGAGAGATTACACTGAACAAAAGATTTTTTTAACAACAATCAGAGTAGACTTTCTTATAAATTGTAATCATAAAATAGTTATCCAGACTATATAATAAAGTATAATGATAACAAGTGTATTTCTTTAGGGATTTATTTATGGATTTCTGGTTAATTTTAGAAAATATGAAATTTAATTTCTTATTGTGAATTATTATTTGTATTGTTTTAATATTGTGTACTGTGTTAAAACACATGTTAGACATTTGCATTTTGTTGTTGTGTTTTAAATTCTAATCACAGGTGTTTAGCTAAAATACAAAAATGTATCTTAAAGATATATTATGTACATATAAATACACAATATTTTTCCATTTTCTTGTTTTGTTTTCAAATTTAAAAACATACACTAATATACACACAAAGTGTACACATATACACGCACTTTCTTGTTTAGGTATTGCTATAGAACCTTTAAAATCACATTTGCATTTTCCAACACTTGCATTTAATTATTTTTATTTATTATTATTTTTTTTTTTCTTTCATTCTATCTTTTATTATTCCTCTTAACTCTGTTTTATACTTTTGTTTTTTTATTTTATTTCTTTTTTTGTTGTTTAATTTTATTATAATTTTTATTTTATTTCCGTTAGTTAACACAAAACCAACCAAAAAATCTCAAAATTTTAATAATATTTTTGTTGTTTAACAAATAATTTGTGTATATTGTTGTGTATCTATTGGATTCGTAAAATATGAACTGAATTGTGAGTAAAATAATGTTCGTAACGATCATCATAATATCCTAAAATACCAAAACACAAACACATTGTCACTGATACCGATACAATCACTCTCACTCACTTGTTCTCTCGCTCACTAACTCACTTATACTTGCTCACGAGCACCTTCCACATACAACAAAACACCAAAACAATAATAACAACCAAGTAACAGAAAAGTATCTTTTTCCGACACATAGATACTTTTAGCGAGAGTTTGTTTTTAAACCAAATTCTCTTATTTTCTATAAGATTTGAAACGATTTTACTCTTTATATC